AATGGCACCAGTACGAGTACCAGTACTGGTGCCCCTGTCATGCCCACAATGGTACCAGTACAAGTACAGATACTGGTGCCCCTGTCACACCCACAATGGTACCAGTGTAAGTACCAGTGCTCCTGCTGTGCCCGCAATGGTACCAGTACAAGTATGGATACTGGTGCCCTGTCACACTCACAAGGGTATGAGCACCAGTACTGGTGCTCCTGTCATGACCACAACCACCAGTATGAGTACTGGTGTCCCTAATGTGCCCACGATGGTACCAGTAAAAGAAAGAATATTGGTGCCCCTGCCATGCAAGCAACAGCACCAGTATGAGTACCGGTACTTGTCCTCCTGTCGTACCCACAACAGCAGCAGTACTGGTCCCCTGTTGTGCCTCTGCCAGTACCACTCACGTCCCTGTCACAACCATACTGGTACCAGTGCCCCATCACGCCCATACTGGTACCAGCACCCCTGTCACACCCATACTGGAACCAGTACTGAAACCCGTACCAGTGTCCTGTCACGCCCACACTATTACCAGCACCAGCACTGGTACCAGCAGAGGCGCTGGTACCAGCACCCTGTTATGGCCATACTGGTACCAGCACCAGCACTGGTACCAGCACCAGCACTGGTACCAGCATCCCTGTCACGCCCATACTGGTACCAGCACTGAAACTCGTAACAGCGTCCTGTCATGCCCATACTGGTACCAGTACTAAAACCAGTACCAGTGCCCCATCATGCCCATACTGGTACCAGTACTGGCACTGGTAGCAGCATCCCATCACACTCATGCTGGTACCAGCACTGGCACTAGTACCCAGTGTCCCTGTCACACCCATACTGATACCAGTACTGAAACTGGTACCAGCACCCCTGCCACACCCATAGTGGTACCAGTACTGAAAGCAGTATCAGCGCCACTGTCACGCCCATACTGGTACCAGTACTGAAACTGGTACCAGTGCCCCTGTCACAACCATACTGGTACCAGTACCAGCATTGGTACTAGCGCCCCATCACACCCATACTGGTACTGGTACTGGTACCAGTGCCCCTGTCATGCCCACACTGGTACCGGCTCCGGCACTGGTACCAGTGTCCCTGTCACACCCATAGCAGTACTGGTACTGGCACTGGTACCAGCGCCCCTGTCACGCCCATACTGGGACCAGAACTGGCACTGGTACCAGCGCCCCTGTCACGCCCATACTGGGACCAGAACTGGCACTGGTACCAGCGCCCCTGTCACGCCCATACTGGGACCAGAACTGGCACTGGTACCAGCGCCCCTGTCACGCCGATATTGGTACCAGTACTGAAACTGGTACCAGTGTCCCTGTCACACCCACACTGGTACCAGCACCGGCACTGGTGCCAGACCAGTACCGACAGCCGTACCAGTACCCGCTCTAGGCCCACACCAGTACGCACGGCGGCACCCGCGCCCCTCCCGGTGCCGGTGCGGGACTGACCCGGCGATGAGGATGATGATGCGCAGCGGGTCGCGGGCGATGGTGAAGAGGAAGAGGCCGAGCGCCGGCCCGAAGGCGATGAAGGTGCACCCGAAGAAGACGGCGAGCGTCATGGCGGCGGGAG